TACTACTCCGATTTACGCATTTGAAGGTAATATAGGTCTTGAGATAGGTTGGACAAATTCATTTTGAGCGGCTCTCACGCTTTTTCTGTAATGAAATCAGGAATAGTTTTTCCAAAAATAAAAATTCTGTCATTATTTAGGCTACTCCCCTCGCGTCTTGCGTTAAAGTTGATCGATATCTATTTTAATGCAAAAGCAAACAGTCAGATTAAGAACAGGATATTTTGCAATGCGTGTTAGGACATTCTTTAACTTCACACTCCGCTTGATGTGATGAATGTGTTCGCCGTCCTGTCAGCGTACTTCTCTCTGAAGGTGATCTCCGCGCGGAGGAAGCACTCGGTCTCTCCGCCGGCCACCACCGGACCTCCGGAGTTTCAGAGGATCTTTCGAGCCCAGTAAGTCAGGCGGAATGGCTCGCATTTATCATCCGTCAGCTGAATACAGACACTTGTGACTTCACTGAAAGTAATGTTGATCTGGACAGGCTTGGTCTCATTTGTCATATTCTTTCCATTCTTGCCAGAGCAAACTGTTCTGAATATTTCCCCATATTCGTCTTCTCGCTTTGGCTGGCTGGAGTTTTCTTCAGTCAAGGTGAGTTTCCCTGAACCGAGAAACCAAGAAAGATCAGGTAGGCTCATGTCAGTTCAACTTTGTGCTCACAGAACATATTAATATATCTTGCTAAAATGCGACAACCAGATTTATAGTTTGTGGTATTAATAAGACTAGCTCAAGCAGCTTCTGCTATACTGGAGTAAGCACAGGACACACTGCACTCTGAAAATGCCTTGATTTATTTACAGAAAAAGAGCATCTAGAATGTTAGGTTTGAAAGAATAAAAACGCCCAGATGTTCCTTCAGGCTGGTTTTATAGAGGGGTTAAACCAGACAAGTCTTCAAAGGGGAACTTTCCCTTGTGAGAAGTGTATAAATAAAATATGCCTTAAAAGTCTTATCTAGATTAAAAGAGACAAGTCGATCTAAGATGAACAGCACTCACATTGGCTTTCACCAGATATCTCACACCTCAGATTTGCATGTAAACAAAAAAATCCCTTGACATGTTTTAATGCAAAGCCGTTCTGCTGCTGTTGTGCTCTTCTCAAACACCTCCATTCAGATCTAAAGGAAGAAAAGTACGCTTAAATTGAGGTGGTGATCAATATTAGGTTAGGTCAAGCATCACTATTGCTATTGGGTTTAGTGATCTGAACAAACCCCTCATCCAGAAAATGACCTGATGAAGTTCTTGCTCTAGCACTGGCAGTGTTCTTCGGGCTCCTGTACCTTTATGGACGGTATCTGTACTTCCACGGCTATGCGGCTTCGGCTCAGGGCAGGTCAGTGATCTAAGACTGTAGTAGTGTTCATGTTTGCCCAGTCGTGTTGCTCACCTGTTACTGTCCGCTGGCAGACTGGAGCCGCTGTATTTCAGTGCAAAGATGCAGTGGGTGCTGATCGCTCTGGCCGGGCTGGGGGTCGTCTGCACCATGACGCAGGCCTATCTGGGACTGGACCTGCTGCACTCCTTTAGTCATGTT